GGGTGTTGTTTTTACTTTTTTACAGATTTCAACGGGTCATTTCCCACGCCAGGAGAGGGATAGCAGTGTCGGCAACAGTCAGGCGTTGACCTTGGGGGCTGTGAGCGACAGTGAGGCGTTGACCTTGGGCGCTGTGAGGCAGCTTCAGAAGCAGCTCGGTGACCTTGAGCAGCAGCTGGTACATCAGGAGGTCAAAGGGCGCGAGCAGGCACGGCCGTTGTCGGCGGTTGTAGCGTCAGGTCAAGGTCAGACGCAGAATGTCCCTGACCTTCTCTGCAGAAGAGACGGAGAGGAAATGACCTTTGTGGTCACTGAGGCTGAAGACAAAATGTCAAGGTCAGGAAAGAATCCTGGAATGGTGGCATCCGGCGTTCATCTGTCTGCGAGGGAAAGAAGGAGGCAGAAACAAGCTGGAAAACTGTGGAGCACCCATCCAAGGAAATGGCTCTTGACAAATGAAGTTCCAGAAGAATCCGCTCCAGGAAGCTGTTTAGGGAACGATTCTCCACAGGAACTGACAAAAGCGACCGATCAAACTCCACCGGTGGCTGGGGCAAACCCACCGTTTCTGGCAAGTTCTGGTTTTTCTCATTCAGAAAATGACGCGGGAAGTCGCTCAACTTCAAAGACTTTGTTATCCCCGCGGAAAGTTGAGCTGACCTTTGCTGGGGAGGACAGAAAAAATTCCACCCATCTTAGACAGTCCATCAGGTTGGTGTTATTATTGATTGTTTTTTTAAATTCAGGTATTTGGCATTTACCAAATTGTAACGTTCTTTTTTCCTTGAAATCCCTATCTTTAATTTTACTTGATGAACAGTTGTCCATGACAGCATCATCTGATATTTAATGTTCTATATTCTGTGTTGTAGATAGAGTTCTCAAAGGGAGATTAGCGCTCTTATTGTCTTAGCTGCTGTTGGTTTGAGTTATAGCGAGTCCAAATTGTGTACACTCTTTACAGATGAGCGGATGCAAGTCTCCGACAAATGCCACTGTGCCACGTGACGTTTGTGCGACTTGACGGTAGTGCGTTGTGACGTTTGTGCGTTGTGACATTTGTGCGTTGTGACGTTTGTGTGATGTGATGTTTGTGTGATGTGATGTTTATGATGTTTGTGTGACGTGATGTTTGTGTGACGTGATGTTTGTGTGACGTGATGTTTGTGTGGAGTGACGTTTGTGTGACGTGATGTTTGTGTGATGTGATGTTTATGTGATGTGATGTTTGTGTGACGTGTTGTGTGACGGGACGTTTGTGTGACGTGATGTTTGTGTGGTGTGACGTTTATGATGTTTGTGTGGTGTGACGTTTATGATGTTTGTGTGATGTGACGTTTGTGTGACATGACGTTTGTGTGATGTGACGTTTGTGTGACATGACGTTTGTGTGACGTGACGTTTGTGTGACCTGACGTTTGTGTGACGTGATGTTTGTGTGACGTGATTTTTGTGTTGTGTGACGTTTATGTGATGTGATGTTTGTGTGACGTGACGTTTGTGTGACATGACGTTTGTGTGACGTGACGTCTGTGTGACGTGATGTTTGTGTGGTGTGATGTCTGTACGACGTGACGTTTGTGTGACGTGGTGTTTGTGTGGTGTGACGTTTGTGTGATGTGATGTTTGTGTGACGTGGTATTTGTGTGATGTGATGTTTGTGTGACATGACGTTTGTATGACGTGACGTTTGTACGACGTGACGTTTGTGTGAGTCATGCTTGCAGCTGTTGAGGAAATGTCGTCAGTCGCTAAATGTAGTCAGTTTGGTCTTGTCTATCATTTATAACTGCTGTTTAGTTTTGCTTTGGCAGCAACACCCTGACTGTCTGACTGTCTTGTGTGGTTTTGTACATCGAGTAAAACAAAAACAACGGAACATCGGGTTTTAAGGTACGAAATATACCAGTAAATCACATTAACCTAGATTGTATATATATATATAGGCCTATAATATATATATATAAACATTCATATATATCTTCAGGTTGATCAAGTCGGAACTGGGCAAAGTGCACCACATAGAGGGCGCCAGGAAAGCTGAACTGGAGAGAAGAGAGCTGATTTTCTCCGAGAAAGGTGTGTTAACTGAAACGCAATAGCCCTAGTTGAAAAAACACAATGGTGACCTCAGACTTTGGTGGTTACTCTGCCCAAGTTGATGGCAGCATCACCAAAAGTTCCAGATCCCAAAACAGACATTGTCGAACATGCCTCTCCATTCATCACCAAAAATTCCACATCCCAAAACAGATATATGTTGAACACAGTTCGCCTTTCATTTCTCAACTGGAATGCTCTAAAAAATCCCAGCTATTATTCTGGTGTTTCCCTGTCAAGCATTTGTTGAGGTTTTCCAAATAAGTTTCCCTTGGTCTGCCCCTGCCTTGTTTGCCCTCTGTTTTCCCAGTAAGAGCCAGATGTTGAAAACCTTCATGTGGAGTCGAGTTTCTTAGAACGTGCTTTTGTGGCTTCTTACTAGTACATGTGTGGACGGATCATGGGGACTTGTTACTTGTGTGGACGGATCATGGGGACTTGTTACTTGTGTGAACGGATCATGGGGACTTGTTACTTGTGTGGACGGATCATGGGGACTTGTTACTTGTGTGAACGGATCATGGGGACTTGTTACTTGTGTGGACGGATCATGGGGACTT